TTTGCTCATTACTTAATAAATATGAAAAAAATGCTTATTTTCCTTTGAAGAATTATGTTTTCATTCTTTGCCTACTAGAAACCTTTATATATTACGTATCATAACCCAAAGTTGTGTGTGTGTGTATATATGGCATAGACCCCATATATATATAACTACAAATTATATATAACACATTTTTCCTTGTTTGCCATAACTTTCTACTATAAACAGAATTAAAGTTCTATAAATTCAAAGCTTTACTTCCTCAACACAATACTAAGAGAAAAAAGAAATCTTTATAATTATTCGGATCCAAAGAACATAACAATAGCTTCCAAAACATGAATTTAAGTAAGGGCATGAAACACAGGCTGCAAAGAATGCTAAGAATTCTTAGATGGAAAATAGAGAAGTAGAAGAGAATGTCAGCAGAGGACACTGGATATGGAAATTAGCATCTCTAAAGTTCTGGTAGAATTAACATTGTGGAGTAGCAAAACCCAAGGAGTAATTTAGTCTCAACATTATCATGAACTGTTTGTGTGACCTCCTCTGGGTCATTATCTACACTTATTAAAAAATATGGGCAACTTATATCGAAGATATGCTGGGAGGGTGAAAGCACCTGCTGGTTTCAGTCTCCCCTCTCCCTATTCTCTCTGGGAAGACTGGTTTTCCTGCAGCCTAAGTCTGGTCCAGAAAAAGTCACTACTTCTCACTTTCACTTTGACAGCTCATATGATACCATCACAAAGACCTACTCTTATTTCTTGTTGCTTGTGACTTGCTCATTTGACAGTTTTAGCTGCACTTGGAGTGGAAAGCAGGAGTTTGCTTCAAGGTGTTAAACTTCAATTGCACTTTTGAGAAATGGTTCTTTCTTTAAATGGAGATTCAACTTATGTAGGCTGACAACAAGACTTTCAAGCTTGACACCATTATAGAACAATTAAAGTAAGACTTAATAATAGAAGCAATTAGTAATAAAAAAGTGACTTTGGAAAACTTAGTGAGCCTTTGACTATCTTCCATATCCCTTTATAGGCAGAAAAAGGCAAAGTTAAAGAATGCTTATAGAAAATTATATTAAAGGAAATTAATTCAAGAATAATTTTTAAAGCAGAATTTGCCTACATTACCTGATAATACAGAATTTGAATTGAACAATTATATTATTTAAAACATTATGTAAAATAACCCACTGAAATGTGGGAAAAAATAGATTCCTCTATTTATTTCCACTAGAATAAGACTAAAATTTGAGAGTGAACCAGGCATGGATATAACTCACTGGAAGTCACAAAGCTTTAAAGTAGCAGACAGGATCTGAACCCAGGCAATCTGGCCTTATACAAAGCACTAACTATAAAACTTCTCTTAAGATAGGCTTTAGAAACATTTAGCATTGTATTTTCAACAACTCCAACTGCATATTTTTCTCATTTTAGTATCTCTGAAAACAGAATATATCTTAAAATGTATGAGAACTTATAACTGGCAGTATTTTTTTCTTTCTTGGTGGTACATACATCATGGTACATCTTAAGAATCAATGGGGTCTTGTTTTTGATGAAATGCACCTACTTACTCATCAGTTCTGTTATGTTAGACCTTCACAAGTTGTGCACTATATTCAAGGAATCCCAAAATGATGGACATTATACAATCATAGCAGATGAGTGGTGTTCTGATTATCTGAACAGTGTGTCACAATGTACTGAGATTTATCTATGCCTAATTATGTGGATTTCAATTATATTCCGTTGTATTTGAACTAAACCTCGAAAAAAGGTACCTGACAAAGGGTGTCTGAAGAAACCATTCACTGAAGTAACAGTATGAATGCAAAGCATAAAGGTAAGAGTAAGAAAATAACAGCACTGAGACATCAAAAAAAAAAAAGGCTTGACAAGAACTGTAAAAAAAAATTCTAAGACTGAAAAAACATGACACTGAATGAACCTCACTTGTGTATATTGAGCCATGAAATATCTAATGATAGTATATGTATATAAATCATAAACAAGCATATTTGAGGTGTATTTGAATTTTTTTCCTATTAAGAAAATGCACAATCAAAAAAAAAGCTTAGACAGTGACTGTAATGGGATTTGTGGGAGGGACTTGGTGAAGGGGGAGCCTAGTAAACATAATGCTCCTCATGTAATTGTAGATTGATACCAAAAAAATAAAAATAAAAATAAAAGCTTAGAGACCAGTGGAACCAAAAAAAAAAAGCTTAAGACACCTCTGGAATATAACAAGTTCTGGTCCTAAAAAATCCCTTGGTAACATCTTTTTATGTTAACATGTTACATTAAAAAACATCCTCTCACAGTCGATGGGGTGCAGGGGAAGAGGTATGGGCAAAAAAAGGAAACTACCAGTGCACTTCATTTGATAAAAGGCCAATAAAAAGTACGGCTATTTGCAGATTCTGTATTTGCAAATTCACCTACTTGCTGAAATTTTAACTCCAAAATCAGTACTCGAGGTGATTTTCTTGGTCTCTCACAGACATGTGCAGAGCAGGGAAAAATTAGTTGCCCAAGGCACAAGTTCCTAGCTGAGGTTAAACAAGGCAATGCTTTACCTTCTTGTTTCAGCTCTTGTACTATAGAATTGTCTTTTTTTGCAGTCTACTCAGTACCAGTTTTTGCTTTTTTTGTAGGTGATTCCACTGGTTAAAATGGTCCCCAAGATGGTCCCCAAGTATAGTGCTGAAGTGCTGTCTAGTGTTGCTAAGCATAAGAAGGCTGTAGTGTACCTTATGGAGAAAATAGATGTAAGGTAAGCTTCATTCAGGCATGAATTATAGTGCTGTTGACCATATGTTCGATGTTAATAAATCAACAATATATATTAGATCTCTGGTCATTTTCATATTAATAAGATTCTTTTGCCTTATACACTGTTCCAACATTTAAAGTTAGACCATTACACTACACTTAACTCATTTCTGAATTTTAAGTGCACTGTAATTGAAAGAGCAAGATTATTTTAGTCCTCTTTACTGAAAAGGGGGAATATTGGTTGTGATTACATTAGAATTAAACATTACAATGTGTTCAACTATACTTTTCTTGTTTCTATTAAGAGGATTTCATAAAGTTGCTAATGCTGTTTGCGTAAGTTGTGACATAAAAATGTATATTGTATTAACAACAGAATTAGTTTCTTTGCTTAATAGTCATATAACACTGATCATGAAAAAGCCCATCCCATTTTATTACTTGAAGCAAACATCAATGAATTAGGGTTTGGTAGCACCTTTGAAGACAGGACTATAACCCTCTTAACTAGACAAGTTAGTCAAAGACAAGTAGGTCAAAGTCATCCACCTTGCAAAAGGCATCTTTTCAGTCAATCTGTCCTGCTAGCAGCATCTACAGAAGGAGCAGCCCTATGTAAATGAATTAGTCTAGTACAGTGGCTTTCAAAGTAGAAAGACCTGTATGTAAATCCCAGCCAAATAGAGAGAGGCCAACCCACAAAGTGGGGCCACAGGAAATTATGGTTGATCAACAGGAAGTTAGGGAAGCAGAGAAAGATGAAAATAATAATCCACCTGGTAGCAGAGCAAAAAGAAGCTCACACTGGAGAAAAGCTGAAACATAAAAGAACCATAAACCTGCCATTGAATACTCTGAAGCTGCATAAGAACCTTCTACAGTTTGTTTTTTAAAATATCTTGGTCTTCCTGCTATAGCTGTGTTCTGGTGAGATTCTGTTTTCTTAACCCCATGACCTACAACCATAATCCCCCACCAATTCCCATTTGAATCATCTTACCCCAAACAAGAGGTTGGAAAATTTGAGTCAAGCATCCAAAGAAAATAGTGGGGGAGTTGTTAGACAATCTAAGGCCCTCTCCAACTCCAAAGAGCATAATTTTAAGCTGTGATCCTACTCAATGTTTTCTTTAAGGTAACACAAATCCCCATAAGTTTACCACCACCAACTAGTAGTTCCTTGTATAGTTCTAAGTTGGTCCTTTAAACAGGTGTGCCTTGTTCCAATATTCTAAGTTTTCATGAACATCCTCATTTTAGCTTTATGACTTTAAAGATCTCAATTATAACTTTACTTAAGCCTTATTTCCAGAAAGCAGTCTTCATATTTTTAATACAACACCCAAGCACCCTAACACTTCTAATACAGTGGTGTATTTTTCATTATCTGTACTGTACTGAAACTTTTTTTTCATTACACACAATGCTACTGGTGATTATAACTTTTTTTTACATGTGTATCTGTGAGTGTGCAAGACCAACTAAAACATCACTCGATCATTTTAAGTTGCTATTCTCTGAACTTTTCTGAGCTTAGTTGTCTTTCAAGAGGAACAAAGACTAGAAAGCACTCCAAACTCTGCAGATAGAAAAAGAATTACAAGTAGCTTTCTATTAAATATTAGATCAAGGGGTCGAGCAGAGACGACGACAAACCAGGGCCTAAGAGGGGGAGTGTAGCATGATGCTTTTGCTCATGTTAGGCGAAAAGGAGTAACTTGGGGAAAATCAATTAGAAAAACGGAGAAATGGTCTCTTTTTGGAGGGTCTCTTAAGAGCTTGAGACTAGATCTTAAACGGTTCCCAAGCCAAGGAACACTAATTATTGAAGAATTTTTGGTACCTCCGATACGAAGAAATAAAAGCTTAACAGGTGAAGCTTCGAAACTTCAATTTAAATCTTTAATGTTTCCTATTTCCGAAAATTCAAATCCTACGATGTCTGTTTTAAAACTATTATATACACGTACAGACTTAAGAAAAAAATTTTTTAAACGATAAACGTCATAGCTCCTGCTCTCTTTAAAATCCCTCCACCCCGCAGCCTGGCCGGAGGAGGGAGACCCGAACTGCTCGAGAGCCGAATCCACATCGCCGGCCAGGGCTCGGGGTCGGGGTCCGGGTGGGTAACGGCGGAGGGGAGAGGGCGAGGCCGCTGGGGCGGCCGGCAAGAGGAGCTTCCGAGGCCGATGCGGGAGACCAGCGGCCGTCCCTCCCGGCTCTCACCTCAGCTCTTCGTCGATACTCCTGCCGGGCTGCTCGGCCGAGGCCACCACAGAGGAAGCCTTAGGGCTCTTGTTCTTCAGGATCCCCTTGATGGGCCGGTGCGAGGCCGTCGAGGCCGCCATTGCCCGCCGCTCCGGCGGTCGGCTCAGCGTTGCTGCTTGGCGCGGGGTCCAGGAAGGAAAAGACTGGGCGCGAGCAGAGACTCGCCAGGCAGCCGCAGAGCCCGCTTGGGGCTAAGGCGGCCGCACCTGATGTCTGCAGAAACGGCTACAGGCGTCGCTGTCAACGACACAACGACACCGACGCCTGAGCTGACGCCGCGCTGGAGGCGGCCCTTCACGTGCCCTTTGCCACCAGCACTTTAACCACGACCCGTCGGAAAAGAAACCGACCTAACGCAACGGCGCGCGAGCGACGCTGCAGCTGAAGCCAAGTGGACCCGCCCTCTCGCGATATCTAGGGAGGGGCGGGGGCGGGGCGAGAACAAAGCCAACCTCCTCGCCCCGCCCCCTCCCGCCTCTACGGTCGGCTTCCGCCTGGCCGGGCTCGGACGCCGGGGTCTTGGTTCAAGTAGCTCCGCAGCATTTCAAAGAACGTATGGAGAGGTTCCTGACTTGCCTCTGTAGAGCTATATATCGACAAGTACCCTTGTTCACAACTTATGAGATCCATATTGTTATTCTCTATAACATAGATCTGAAAACTGAAGCTCGAAGGTAACATTCCCCAAAAATGTTAGCTAACTTTAAGAGAAATGATATCTATCCCCTCTTTACTTATATTTAACCCGTATAAAAAATTTAGCTACTGTAAAATCATGGAATGTCAGTATTACAGTGGGCCTTAGAGACCTATTGTGAAATCATGGACTATTGACTTATGAAATCATAGAATATCATTTAAAGAGTTGAATTTATTTTTCCCATTGGAGAAGCTGGGAGGGGAAGTGACCCGACCACCCATCCATAGTGTCGCCCAACTCATCCATAGCTAGTACTGAACTTGATACTTTTGACTTTGACTTTGACTCTGGTGTTTCCCCATTTCACCACATTTTCCCTGTGTTGGTAGTCCCATGGAAGGTATGCTAGCAGAAGTTCCTAGAATTGTGTTATATAATGTCTCCCCTCAAAATTAGGAAATTCACTTAAGGTACCCAGTTGTCCAAAACTGGGTGAAACAGGCCAGAAGCCTTGGGGCTATCTTGTTCTTTGTGAGGAGTCCCAAAGGAGAAAGACAAAACTCATATCCTTCACACACACTCCACTCTGCAAGTTGTTCTGTGTCTGGGTGTGAATGAAAGATCTTGGAGAGAATTTGAGGCTCTCCAGTGTCAGAATATGTGGGTTTCAGGTTGGGGGTGCAGTGGATGTTATAAGGAAAAGTGGATTCTATGAAGTACAGGAAAGGGCAGAAGTTTTGGAGCCCTGGGAACAATCTCAGAGCTATGGTGTAATCTAAATGCAAGCTAGGACCATCAGAGAGAGTGGTGTCCACTCCAGCCACCCAGCCTCAATCCCTGTGGTGCCAGCACCAGGCGTTGTACAGATAGGAAAAGTGGAGGTCTCAGAGATAAAACAAGTCATTTCCTTTTATGGATTGTTTTGTATCCCCCTAAAAAGAAGGTATGTTGAAATTCTAACTCCCAGAACTTCACAGTATAACCTTATTTGGAAATGGGGTCATTGCAGATCTAATTAGTTAAATTAATAAGAGGTCATACTGGCATATGATCTGATCAGGCCTCCTCCTCAACCTCAGGAAAGCCAGATCAGAGCAGACTAGTCCACCCAGAACTGTTACCTACAGTTACCTCTCTGGATTCACACATTACTAGGTCTGAATGGGACCTAGTAATCCCACGAGTTAACTATGCAGCCTCTTTGGTAACCACAGTGGCCAGGGGCTTGCCCCTGGCTCATTTTGTCTTCGGACAACTCTGACTCAGAAAGTTCTTGCTTAGGTTGAGATGATACCAGTTCCCAGTAACATCTGTCCACTGGTGAGACAGGGGGTGGGATGAGAGAATGTGGATGGGGAGCAAGGGCTGTACCCTATTTTACCCAGATAGCAGCGATCTGTACCTTGAGCAGCAACACTCAGCTTTTGTCTTAGAACTCTGCTCCTCAGAAATGACTTCAGCATTCCTGAAATCAATTCTGTATTTATTGTCTGCCCCCGCCCCCCGCCAGTCGCTAGATCAGTTCCTGGCATGGAACAGGGCCTCAAAAAAGCAATGGCTTCTGAGTGGAGAAAATGTAGAAGAAGTGAGCAGGAAGGACAGAAGGGCAACAACTCTGGCAGGCAGAGTCGCATGTGTTCCCCGGAGATTGCCTCAGGCAGTGGCCTCCACAGCCACCATCGGCACCTCCCTCTCCTGGTCCCACCTTGGCTCCTAGCCATAGGTCCACTTCTGTCCTCCTCCCTTCCAGGCTGGCACTGCTCTTTGAGGCGGACATCACACCCTGACAGCTCTGCCCAGCCCTTGGGGTAGAGAGGGGTCTTATGAAGGGACGCAGGATGGCCACCTCCCTTCCTGAGTGCTTTCCACCACAAATTCCAACATCCGCATTGCCTCTCCTGAAATCAGCAGGAGCCCAGGTGAGTGATGGTAACAGGCTTTGCAAGGGAATACACAAAACTTCCCTTCACGTTCTAAATTATTGGGCAGATTGGCTTTGTTCCTGCTTATGCTCGACAGCCACCTCCTTGAATTTAACCATGACTGGGGCCTTAATTAAGCACTGCCTTGCTTTGAGACCCTCTAATGAAAAGAGCTACTACAGTATGACATAATGTGTTTTATTATAGTTAATAAAATAAAAAACATTGGGACAGGAAGTGATGAGATGTTCTCTAAGAATCTTAACAAAATGTTTCGCTCATCAAAATTCAAACTTTTGCCTCTTGTGTTATCTCTCCCACTCCCAATCCCACTGAAAGTGAATGCTGATGATGAGGGCTTTCTTAATACTTAAAAAATAAATAACTGAGCCAGTTAGTTCTCTGCCTGTTGGAGCAGGATCCTGAGGTAACACCACTTGGTTTCTCCCCAAGAACAGAATTCCAAACCTAGGAAGGACTTTAAGTCATCAGCCAGGGTTCACTGAGCAGAGAAATAGTAGTGCCTGCCTCCATTAAGTTGTGACTTAATGACCACTGAGTCAGTAGCAGCTCTCTGCTCTCTCCCAAATAACACGTTGTTCTTTTCCTTTTCAAGTAGTCCCTCCACAGGATAAGACAATCACAGATTTTGTAGTACACAGTAGAAATTCATGGTGGCAAGGGCAAGATTATTTAAATAAAATACATCAAGTATTGAGAGAGTGAGCCAAGGACAAAGATAATTTTCTACTTCAAACATTGCTCTGATTTGTAACTCTACTGTTTCTCTTCTCTTCAAAACTATCTACCAAAATGATAGCTTTACCACAAAAACCTTCCCTAGCCTTACCACAAAAGCCTCCAAGTTGCCAAAATACTTTTCCGAGAAGACCTATCGTGTATAAAAGGTTTCATTATTTCCTAAATGTTTCTTGACCCTTTAATAGCTAGTTAAATTCGAGGAGTTTAGAGAAGCTTTACTTTATTCAAAACCTGTCAGGCAAAAAACGGAAAGAGAAAAGGAGGCAAGATAGGTGGTTTGAGGAGCATTGGAATGGAAGTAGGAAATGTGGATTATTTTCTTGGCTGAGCTACAAACTTATCTTGTGCCTGCTAGAAATCACAGTTTTTTGTGACTGTAAATTTTCCATAAGTGTCAACTGGTCTGGTTTGTAAATTAGTGCAAGGAACAAGCAAGAAATGCCACATATTGTAATTTCATTGTGTTAATTTTGCCAGATTCTATTGCATTTCCACTATTCTATGAACTCATAATGGAATAAAGAGTATAGACTTTGGTTCAGAATACATGTGATATTAGTATAACCACCTTGTGGAAAAACCAAAATATATTTTGAAGAAGACTATATAGTTATTGTTTACAATAGGTGGACTTTTTATTTTAATAACTGTGCTTGTGCTCACTTGCATTTGTCTGCTCAAATACGTAATAAATGAAAATAATAATATTACATCATTTTTATTTGACTGTTGTAACAGTCTTCAGATTGGGTTAAGAACCAAGCTCTTTTTTCTTTATAATCCATTTGCCATCATATTGCTTTCATTCGAAAAAAAAATTGGAGGTTTTTTTAACCTTTATTTAATTAAATCCTTAATTTATAAATTAAGCCCCACTTTGCCAGAAGTAGTGTTAGACACAGGGCAAACAATCAGGCATTTCCCCACTTCTGTCTGAGCTTGAGCTCAGTCTTCAGTGACTCCTCATTGCATAGGATAAAGTCCAAACTCCTCAGGCCTTTGCATGCAGTCTGGCCCCATCTCTTCCTCTAGGCTCGTTGTCTTTTCACATCCACTTCCTTTCTCCATCTGTCCTTCACATTAGCCATACTAGTCTGCTCCGTGTGCCAGAGCACCCCTCGTTCCTTCACTTTTTCATGCCTTTGTTAATCTGTGTGGAAATGCCACTTCCCATTCTTGCCCTGGAATCACTCTAGTTCAAAGGTCACCTCTTTCCCCACACCGCTTGGGCAGAGTTAGTCTGCCTCTGAGATCTGGAGGAACTGTTTGCGTCCCTTTATCTCACAGTATCACAGTTTGCTCAGTGTCGGTCTTTACCCCACGGCCCTTTGGGAGCAGACGCACCTCTTTTGTCCCCATAGCATAACCCAATGAATGCGGTGTCCGCCTCTAAGAAGCCCTTGATAAGTGTTGGTTGAATCAGTGAATACACTTCTGAATCCCCCTTCCCCTCGTATTAGTGCTCTTAAAAACATCAATTTCTTGGAAAGCGATCTGATTATCTCTCTTACTATACATGGCAAAAGGAGATATTAATAGCCATAATGCTGGAAAGGAAATAACAGAAATAAGGACATCTACTGAGTAAGAAAGAGAAGGCATTAAAGCAGGATGTTGTGCTGCCAACAGTCAGTCAAAAATCTTTATTGAAGCTTATACACTGGGCCCTTTGCTAGATGCTGCCTCTTGCTTGGTTTCTTAAATTGAACTATAGTAGGTATTGTCTTTGTTTTCATGTTAGGTTCAGAACCCTTTCTAAAAAATTCTTTGTTGTTAGGTGTGCACACACACACACACACCTAGTTTTAATGAGGTCCCTCTGAGCTTTGTGTGCTCCGTGAGAACAATGTTGCTGTTTTCATGAAAGTGTGTCTTGCTGGTTGTGTCACTCAGGTGTTCTTATTAAGTAGCATGTGCTCTGCATAGGATTCCAGACACTGTGTTGTTCTGTGGCTAAGGTAGGTGGCAGGGGAAACCCTCAACAGGAAGCATAAAGCTCTCACAAGAGCAACTCATGTTTTAGTTGTCTCCTCTCCCATGGCCTGGAAGTCAGGAGAGCTCAAGGTAAGGGAGGCTGCAGAGAGAACTCATGCTTGGGAAACCAGCGACACGGGTCACGTGGGCTGGTGGTTTCTGTGCAAACATGCTTCTCTGTGAAACAGAGCAGGAAATGGTGAAGGTTCTGATCTCTTTTTATCTCTTATCAAGAACATTCTAGGACACAAAAGAATTTGCTTCTCACTGTTTCTCATATGTGGTGTTTTCTAGCCAGTGTCTTGAGTGAATTGAGTTAAAAAAATGAAGCCAAAGTGAAAACTAACTTTGGCCCTAGAATTTTTTTTTCTTCTAACTGTGTCACCCATACTTTTGCTTTATAGGTAACTAACTAGAATGTTCTTCTGTATAGTGGTTTACCTACTCAGGAATACAGCTCTGTCCAAGATAGGCCTTTAGTTGACATTAATTTTGTCTCATTTCTATAAAGGTCTATCATAACCCTAATATTCAGACATTCTTAAATACACTGCTCAGCTTTGTTTGTCAAAGACACTACATTTACCTCATTTCAGAAAAGAGTCCAGAAGCATGTTTGGTTTTGTACTAGAAATGGCTGCAGTGCAGAACTGTGGAGCTGTTTGGGTGACCATAGCTGAAACTCACTTTGATCTTGCTAGATCCTCCCAAATGTGAATTAACGCTGCAGGATAAATTGCCTCTGACTTTTTTAGCATCAAAGAGAATGCATAAAAATATTAATTGCTATTGTTTCTTGTCTCCTCTCCCTCCACAGAGGAACATAGAAATAAAGAAAATTTATATGGAGTGGACAGGAATAAAATTTTCTGGTTAATCAAGTTAGCATATTTATTAAATATAAGATTATATTCCTTGAAGGACTAGAATATAATGGAGTCAAGTCATTGCTAACATACCTCTAAGCAGAATTTAGCACACATGTCTCTTGCTTCCCCATCACAGGCATTGAGCTCCGCTTTCAGTCTTTCTGGGATCTGGGATCTGGCCAAGTCCTTCCCTCCTGGGACAGCTGCTCTCAGGAGCCAACTAGGCCAGCAGCATTTCTCTCTTAGCTCAGCCAGCTTTCAGGGAGTTCAAACAACATGGCAGACAAGCCCTTTCAAGTCCAAAGCCAGCTATGCTCACAAGGCCTCCCAACCCTGTCACCTTGAGCTTCCTGGCTGTGCAGCCTCTTTCTCCCCTGTCATCTTCTGGCATCTTAGTGCTTCTTCTCCTTAGCCCTGTCTGCTGGGCAGTCCAGGCTTCTTTCCTCACAAACAAACTGCTTATACTTTGGGCAATAATCAGAGTATTTGATAACCAAAATGGTGTGAGCTGGCCTCAAGCAAGCAGAAAGGAAAATGACCATCATGCAGGTGTGGGTTCGTATAATGCACGGAGGCTTCTGCAGTACCAAATGGTACCCCATTAGCTGCTGGGCTTACTGCGGGACCCAGAGTTGGTGAAGTGATGGGGAACCCTGGAGGTTCAGACAGAGGATGCTTCTCAACTGGTACTATTGTGCTGGTACAAACCCACTGAGTATTGCCCTTCTGAGACCCAAGATAACTTCCCAGAATGTTGCCTGCAATCTTTACCTTAACAGAATTCTAGTTGTTCTCTCTCATGCAGCTCTTACAAATCGTGGCTGACAATTCACTGTAGGGCCATGGGACCCACGTCTGGGCAGGGGTGGAGGCTTTCTCCTTGACTACTCTCAGGCTACTTCCCTCATTATCATTCCCCCAACGCCCCACCCCCCACCTTTATGCAAAGGCAAAAACTCCTTCTTGAGCTCATGACAGCTACTGTGTATGCCTGTCTGCTTCTTTCATTCCCTTTTCTTTGGAAAGCTCCTATCTCTACATTTCATCAAGAACTTTGGCTCACTTTTTCTCACTAAGAAATATTTATTAAACATTCACTTTGCCAAACAGTATGTGTGTGTGCAAATATGTGTAAGACATGATTCCTGTCCTTAAAAGTAAGTTCATTGTTTAATGAAGCAATAGAAAAGAAAGAAGTACTGGACTACATGGTAAATGCCTGAGTGGACTTCTCTCTTCCTGGCTTCCGCTGGCGGCCAGCGTTCCTTGGCGTTCCTTGGCGCTCCTTGGCGTTCCTTGGCTTGCAGCTGCACCACTCCAGTTCTGGCCTTTGTCATGTGTCTCCCTGTGTGTTTCTGGTTCACATGGCATTTCCTTCTTCTTCTTAGGCCACCAGTCATTTGGATTAGGGTCCATCCTAAAACCTCATCTTAATTTGGATAAATATGCCAAGACCCTATTCTCAAATAAAGTCATATTCACAAGTACCAAGGGTTAAGACTTCAACTTACCTTTTGGTGGTGGACACATTTCAACCTGTAACAGTTGGATAGGAAGGAGGGCAAGGGAAGGGCCAGAGAAGGCTAGCTGGACAGAATTGGTGAGCTAGTAATTTGGACTCATCCAGGTAGAGCAGAGTGTCATGTCATCTGGAGCAATGTCTACAAATGGACTGAGGCCTGAGAGCATGGGAACTGCAAGTTTGAGAAACTGTAAGTGGTTCAACCAGGCAGGTAAAAAGGATCTATCTTCAGTAGAGGCAAGAGAAAAATCCTGAAATGTGGCAGGAGCTGAGTCATGAGTCTAATCATCTCACACAAACATACCTTGACCTCTTTCTCCCATTTTGGCTTCTGGCAACTAGTTGTCTTGGCTGCTACTTCCTCATCACTTCCAAAATCAAAGTGATACCCAATTCACCTGATTCTGCCTCCTAAAACCTCCTACATCTGCCTTCTGCTTTTCATCCCCCTTCCCTTAGTTCAGGCCTTCATTGTCACAAACAGTGCAACAGCTCCTTCACTGGTCCCCCACTTTCATGCTCATGCATCCCTTTCCCATCCTCCTTGGCTGCCAGAGCCATCATTCCATAGTGTCAGCTCAGGCTGGTGCCCTGGCCAGGGGGCAGGTGTGCCGGCAGTGGTGGGTGGAGACACATGGTATAATGAAGGAAGTTGCATTAGCCTGATGCTTCAGCCAACCTGAAGGGAGAGCACTTGCTTTCCAGAGGACTACAGCCTCTGATCTACTCTTTAAAGAAATTTTTTCACTGTGAATTAATAAGTTGGTGTTTGGAGTTTATTTTTAAAATGCAAGTTAAATTGCTTCCTACATTTAAATCCTTCAGCCATTCCCCTTCACCTTCAGATTGAAATCTGAACTCCTTGTCTTGGTTTGCAAGGCTGTGGGTGATCTGACCCTTGGTCACCTATTTAGCTTTAGGATATTCCACTGTTTCTCGCCAGACCCTGGACCCCAATAGTACTGAATTATTTGAGTTTTATTGTGTGACAGTTTTTCTTCTGCCTAGGATGCCACCTAGTCATCATTCTATTTCTGGCATCCTTTAGCTTGTTCTTCCAAATGCAGCTCAGGATTTGCTTGTGAGGGAAACCTTCCCTGACTCTTCCAGGCCAGGGTCAGGTAACCCTGCTCTGTGCTCCCAGAATGCCTCATTCTAGTCCTGATTATAGCCTCCTGATCCAATGTGGTCTCTGCGTCCTTCATTGTAATGGTTGATTTTCTTGCTTACCCTTCCTTCTAGACTGTGAGCAACTCAAGAAGGTAGTAGGTCAGTTCTAGAATCATGTACCTAAAATACAGCCTTTTGGGTATCTGCGGGGGTATCTGTCTTGCCAGTGGGTTTCAGCCCCGGGCAAGATTGCTATGGATTCAATGTGACCAAAGAAATTGACATCAAAACGTTCTTGAGGTGAAAGGGTTATACCCAACTTTATTTCCATGTGGCAAATCAGTCAATAAATCCTGTTCACTCAGAGTAAGTCTGCGTGCAGCAAGCTGGTCTCTGCCTCTGGGCCCCTCTGTCCGCACAGCCGTCCCACACAGCTGTCATCTGGGCCTCTGTCCTCAGTGCTGCCACCACTGCAGCCTCACAGCCATGCCACTATGTCGCGCACAGAGCACTGGGCGGAACTCTTTATATAGAGTCAACAGCATGTATTGCCCACAGGTGTGCAGTGAGCTACTCAACCAGGGCCAGGTGAGAATCCTGGCCACAGGAATTCTCATTTTATCCACAGTATCCCATGCTTTTTTTTTACCTAATTTTGGGCACTTTTTATTTTGCTTTTCCTTGATGGAATTGCTGGATTTCCACAGACATTAGATGTTGATTCTAAGGCACCCCCCTTTGAAGGGGTAGTGCTTGCAGTTACCCATGATGGAAGCTGAGGAGCAATGCCTGAATGAGTTAGGGATGGAGTAATTAACAGTCAGCTGGAAGCATTTGTGTGGATGAGAAATTGAGACTATGTGGAGACTCTGAAGACTATTGTCTGTGAGTGGATCCCAATTGTAAATGTTTGAAAAACTTGCTTTCAGCCACCTATTGTGTTTGGTAAAAGTTAGCATTTATAATTAGCATAAAAATTAACTAAAAAGTTAGCACTCATAATTAGCATTTCAGAATCCAGTATATTATTTAGTGGTTTTGAGATCTAGACTCATAGTAAATAAAAGAAAAACAATAGCCACAAAGGAAATAACAATACCATCTTTCATAAAATATTGCAAATCTATTATGATATAGTCTGAAATACAAAGTCTGAAGTGTTTTTTGTCAAATTATTTTTTAAAGTCTTTAAAATGCCAAAAAAGTTAGGAACAAAGAATAGAATAGATAAAAGAAAAAAGTGCTCAAAAGGGATTGTCTTTTGAACCAGACTCTACACCCAATCTTGTGTTAACTTCATTTCTCTGTACTAGAAGTTGGGGGTGCAAAAATGAATAGGACAGAGTTCCCACTCTTAAGGCCCTCACCATCTAATGGGAGAGACAAGCTAGCCAACCAATAGCTATGAGTCAAGGAGATGATTTAGGTCAATCATTTACAGCTGACACATTGGATTTATCTTTGGAAGCAGTAACTCTAAGAATAAGAAGAGCTGCCTTCCTGCCAAAGCTAATATGTGAGTGATTGGAGTTTGTAGGCATAATTCAAATGAGTCAAACCAGTCCTTAGAGCAGATAACTGAAAACATTGCACAGGTTACCGATCCTTGTCCCTCAGGCAGAAAACCACCATATTATTTCTTGACTGTATTGAATTTGGTGGATTAATGTGATGTTTTCTGGAATGTTCTGTGAATTCTGTTTTCAGAAAGTTGCTTGACTACCTGAGTGGTTTTATTTTTAAAAAATAATAATTATTCTTCATTGTAAATTGCTTTGCTCTGTGATTTTTCTTTTCAGTTTTGTGTTTAACAGTACTTGTTCTGTTTTAAAAACATTTTTTGGGAAGCCACCATTGGTTGCTCTTTGTGACTTTAAAGGGGGATGCCTTTCTTTAAGATAGTGGTAGGAGTGGGTGCTACAATACTAGACATAATTGATAGATAATATCAGTTAATGATGAGGTTTATTTGAGACCAAAAAAGATTCTTAAAAATAGGCTGTTCTTTGGTAAATCATTCATCTTCATAGAGTCTCCCCTTACTGTGGGTAATTCTTTTGCATCTGTTGGCAGTGAACTTACTTATGAGAAGATATGTCACCTCAGGGCTTTTATTTGTTTGAAATGAAAACTTCTTTCTCCTTTCAATGACAGACAGTGATTCTTTTCTGTTTTAATTCAAAACAGGTTTCAGAATGCGTGACAATTTCAAGGAGAAAGAAGGAAGAGAGGGTGAATGAATGAGCTGGGGTACACTTCCTATAACATACAAAGGGAAAATGAGAACTTGTCATGGATAAAACATTCAGATTTACTATGAAAATAGTAATGTTTCTCAATTGGTGTACTAAGTATATACAATCAGCATTTGCCCCTCAAATCAAAAGAAGGCAGCATAGTCTCACTTGAAGAGGGAAAGTGGGTATTAAAAGCTGCTTTTCTTCATGCTCCCTGTCCAAATGGCTTCAGATGTCTGGGACGGTCTCATGAAATTAGTCCGTCCTTTGCTTCCTGGTAGAGTTCCCCCTTCACCTTATGGAACAACATTCCTAATGCTAAAAATAACTGGAGTGTGAGTCCAAGACTTCCATGTTGGTCATCTCATGTACCTGGCAGTACTGTGGAGTCCTCCTCTCACTCATCTCTAATAACAGAGTATCATCAAGCCTCACCAAAGTTGCTTCCTTGATAATTACCCCTGATTATAACACCCTATGTCACAGTTATAGGCTTGCCAAATGTTAAACTGACTTTGTGCAGTGGCTCCATGATATAAACAACTATGATACACTTTTCTCATAGGAGGTGTTTTGTTGTTTTATTTGTGGAGGCAAGGAACAAAATGAGGCAAAACCGTCAAATTGTCTTCCAAGTAAATTACTTCTCTAATAGAAATTAGGGTCCAAGTTCAAGTCATAACTATAACTAGCCACATAGTTTTGTTCAAGTCATTCTACACTGCTGGGCTTAATTTTCTCCACTTGGAAAATGAATGTGCATATGAGGGGGATAATATTCCAGTGATAAATTGTGGAAGCAGTAGAAATAGCAAACTGGGGAACAATCTTACCTGAATGTGTTGAGTGTGAATATGAGTATGTTGAAGCACATAAATATAGGGAATGTATTTGGGTTCTGTTTTTGCTTCCATGACTGATTCCTTCTGAGTCGTGGGGCATTTATTCAGTTTCTGCATGCATTCACTCATTTGTCCACACATTCACTCATTCATTCAATAAAAATTTATTGAGTCTACTATCTTTGGGCCTTGTCTTAAGCTCTGAAGCCATTAGCATATGCCAAAACAAGCAGGGTTCTGTCTTCAGAAAGCTTACATTCTAGTGGGAGAGATGGACAATAAATACATAAGCAAATAAGTAAGCAAAATGCAGATTGTGAAAAGTGGTAAGAAAGAAATAAAAAGGATGTTAGGATGGAAGGTAACTTAGTCAATCACTTTTAAGTAGATGCTTGTAGAGATGTAGTATGATCAGAGACTTGACAAATGAAATGTCAACAACTTTGGCTTCTAAGCCTGCCAAGGTAGAGAATTTCATATTAGTAATCCAAAAACGACCCATTTAGACGGTTTCCAATGCACAGTACACTTTGTTGACAAAATACCCTGAGGCCGAAGGCCACAGATGTCAGCCTCAATTTTGTAGATTTTCATAGCATCTTCCAGCAGGGTTGGCCCTGGTCATTACCAACCGCACCCTCATTTAGGGAGGGAGGATGCAGGGAGTCCTCTGACTCTGTGGCACATGCTCTGGCCTCATCAGTCCTGCTCGGATCAGCTTTCAGGCAAAGAATGAACACCTGCTTAGTCACAGCTGAACTGTGCTGACAACGGAGTCACCACTTGCTTCCTCCAGCCCTGCCCATGCCAGCCAGGGAGCTCCTGAGCCCATTTATCACCTGGGGACAGAGCTGACTCACAGAGCACCGGCAGCTCATTTGAATTGGGAGCATTTGGAGACAGAAAGTTTGGATTTAAAGCAAGTGCAGCTGGTGGATGCCGTGTAATATAACTGGAATTTTCTACCTTGACCTGTCCTCAATGCTTGAAATTCTATTGCTAGAGTCGAGCATCCAATCCACTTAGTTTTGAAAGGTTTTTGTTTGGTTGGTTTTTGGTTTTCAGGTCCCTCATTAATTTCTGGAGGAGGCCCACTCTTTAAATGTTACAATTTAACATCTTAAAAGGGACTCAAAAAAATTCTAAAAATGACAAAAGTCTGGTTACAGGTGTCATGCTGTAGGTCTCATCTTATCCAGAATTGCCCTACCTCTGAAATCACAAATTCATACACTCTACTCTTAGAGCATGATGCCTAGTCTTCTAACCTTTGTGTGGAGTCACTTCCACGACACTGCTCTTCAGCCTCCTGGAGACTTCTCTTGCCATGAGAGGTTTGTGGTTTGTGTCTGATGTAAGACACAGATAATTGTTACTCAAGGTGGAGGGCCATGAGTCTATGTCTGTTATTTCCCACCATTCAGTTTAAGAAATAAAGTATTACTGTGGTAGCTGAAAAATGCCCTCCTTCCCAGTGATATCAGGTCCTATCTAATCCCTGAAACCTGTAATGTTAAATTTGGGGAAAAGATCTTTGCCTATGTCATTAAATTAGTGGTCTTGAGATGAGTAGATTATCCTGGATTATCCAGATGTGCCCTAAATGCCATCACAAGTGTCCTTATAACAGGGGGATAGAGGGCTATTTCACACACACGTAATCATGAACACATACACACAATTATAAGAAGACCCTGTGAAGACAGAGTTGAAAGAGATTTGAAGATTGGAGTGCTGTGGCCCCAAACCAACAAATGTCAGCAGCTGCCAGTAGCTGGAAGATGTAAGGAACAGATTCTCCCCGAGAGCCTCCAGAAGGAGCACATCCCTGCTCACACCTTCCTTCTGGCCTGCTGGTACTGATTTTGGATTTCAAACCTGCAGAACTGTGAGAGAACAAACTTCTGTTGTTTAAGCCACCAAGTTTTTGATAATTTTTACAGCAGCCACAGAAAACTAGTACAACTAACAATGAAAATGGAAGTCACCTCTATTTCCCTTACCATTTGCAACCATCTCCTTCTCTCTTTGGAAGGAATCAGGGCCTTGAATTTGGTGTTTATTATTCTCTGAATTTCCTTATCCTTTCATTAGATATGTGTGTACTCCAAAATAATATGTCATTTGATATGTAATTCCTACTGTATCTTTCTACATATTACTTTTTGCTTTTTTTTCTTATTAAGGAATCATTGATACACCCTCTTATGAAGGTTCCACATGAGGAACATTGTGGTTACTACATTCACCCATATTATCAAGACCCCTCACACTTGACTGCAGTCACTGTCTGTCAACATAGTAAGATTCCACAGAGTCACTACTTGTCATTTCTGTGCTACACCGTCTTCCTCATGACACCCCCCACACCATGTGTGCCAATCATAATGCCCCTCAACCTCCTTCTTTCTCCCTCCCCACCTGTCCTCCCCCACCCCTCCCCTTTGGTAACCGCTAGTCCCTTCATTGAGTCTGTGAATCTGCTGCTGTTTTGTTCTTTCAGTTTTTCTTCATTGTTATACTCCAAAAATGAGGGAAATCATTTGGTACTTGTCTTTCTCTGCTTGGCTTATTTCACTGAGCATAATACCCTCTAGCTCCATCCATGTTGTTGCAAATGGTAGGATTTGTTTTCTTATGGCTGCACAATATGTATATGTACCATATCTTCTTTATCCATTCATCTACTGATGGACACTTAGGTTGCTTCCATATCTTGGCTATTGTAAATAGTGCTGTGATTAAAAAAAGGGGTGCATATGTCTTTTTGAATCTGGAATCTTGTTTTCTTTGGGTAAATTCCTAGGAGTAAAATTCCTGGGTCAAATGGTATTTCTATTTTTAGTTTTGTGAGGAACCTCCATATTGATTTCCACAGTCATTGAACTAATTTACATTCCCATCAGCAGTGCAGGAGGGTTCTCCTTTCTCTGCATCCTCGCCAACATTTGTTGTTGTTTGTTTTTTGGATGGTGGCCATCCTAACTGGTGTGAGGTGATGTCTCATAGTGGTTTTAATTTGCATTTCTCTAATGAATAGCGATATGGAGCATCTTTTCATGTGCCTGTTGGCCATCTGAATTTCTTCTTTGGAGAAGTGTCTGTTCAGCTCCTCTGCCCATTTTTTAATTGGATTATTTGCTTTTTGTTTGTTGAGGTACGTGAGCTCTTTATGTATTTTGGATGTCAACCCTTTATCTGATCTGTCATTTATGAATATATTCTCCCACACTGTAGGATGTCTTTTTGTTCTATTGATGGTGTCCTTTGCTGTACAGATTTTCAGCTTGATATAGTCCCACTTGTTCATTTTTGCTTTTGTTTCCCTTGCCAATGGAGATATGTTCATGAAGAAGTTGTTCATGTTTATATTCAAGATAATTTTGCCTATGTTTTCTTCTAAGAGTTTTATGGTTTCATGACTTACATTCATGTCTTTGATCCATTTCAAGTTTACTTTTATGTATGGAGTTAGACAGTAATCCAGTTTCATTCTCTTACATGTAGCTGTCCAGTTTTGCCAACACTAGTTGTTGAAGAGGCTGTCATTTCCCCATTGTATGTCCATGGCTCCTTTTTCGTATATTAATTGACAGTATATGCTTGGGTTAATATCTGGACTCTCTATTCTGTTCCACTGGTCTATGGGTCTGTTCTTGTGCTAGTACCAGATTGTCTTGATTACTGTGGCTTTGTAGTAAAGCTTGAAGTTGGCAAGCAAAATCCTGCTTTATTCTTCCTTCTCAGGATTGCTTTGGCTATTTAGGGTCTTATGTGGTTCCATATGAATTTTAGAACTATTTGTTCCAGTTCATTGAAGAATGCTGTTGGTATTTTGATAGGGATTGCATTGAATCTGTAGATTGCTTTAGGCAGGATGGCTATTTGACAATATTAATTCTTCCTAGCGAAGAGCATGGGATGAATTTCCATTTATTAGTGTTCTCTTAAATTTCTCTTGAGAGTGTCTTGTAGTTTTCAGGGTATAGGTCTTTCACTTCCTTGGTTAGGTTTATTCCTAGGTAACTTATTCTTTTTGATGCAATTGTGAATGGAATTGTTTTCCTGATTTCTCTTTCTGCTAGTTCATCATTAGTATATATGAAAGCAACAGATTTCTGCGTATTAATTTTTTATCCTGCAGCTTTGTTGAATTCAGGTATTAGTTCTAATAGTTTTGGAGTGGATTCTTTAGGGTTTTTATGTACAATATCATGTCATCTGCAAACAGGGACAGTTTGACTTCTTCCTTACCAATCTGGATGACTTTTATTTCTTTGTGTTGTCTGATTGCTGTGGCTAGGACTTCCAGTACTATGTTGAATAAAAGTGGAGAGAGTGAACATTCTTGTCTTGTTCCTGATCTTAGAGGAAAAGCTTTCAGCTTCTCACTGTTAAGTATGATGTTGACTGTGGGTTTGTCATATATGGCCTTTATTATGCTAAGGTACTTGCCCTCTATACCCATTTTGTTGAGAGTTTTTATCATGAATGGATGTTGAATTTTGTCAAATGGTTTTTTGGCATCTATGGAGGTGATCATGTGGTTTTTGTCCTTCTTTTTGTTGATGTGGTGGATGATGTTGATGGATTTTTGAATGTTGTACCATCCTTGCATTCCTGGAATAAATCCTACTTGATCGTGATGGATGATCTTTTTTATGTATTTTTGAATTCAGTTTGGTAATATTTTGTTCAGTATTTTTGCATCTATGTTCATCAGGGATATTGGTCTGTAGTTTTCTTTTTTTGTGGTGTCTTTGTCTGGTGTTGGTAGTAGAGTGATGCTGGCTTCATAGAATGAGTTTGGAAGTGTTTCCTCCTCTTCTATACTTCGGAAAAGTTTAAGGAGAATGAGTAGTATGACTTCTATAAATGTCTGATAAAATTCAGCAATGAATCCAATTGGTCTGGTAGTTTTGTTCTTGGGCAGTTTTTTGATTACTGATTCATTTTCATGGCTGGTAATTGGTCTGTTTAGATTTTTTGTTTCTTCCTTGGTCAGTATTGGAAGGTTGTATTTTTCTACAAAGTTGTACATTTCTTCCAGGTTATCCAGTTTTTTAGCATATAGATTTTCATAGTACTCTCTAATAACTCCTTGTATTTCTGTAGTGTCTATCATGATT